AAATTAGGTTTTTAGTTGAACTGACTGGCCTTTGGGCAGGTGAATTATTTCTTGGATCAGCCTGAATGATTCTATTACATATTTTTTTTTACTCTTTTGATTTATTATTCAAAGTTTCCCCTCAATCCAGCTTTTACCCATCTCGAACCGTCACCATCGTTAGAAGACCATAGCATCAAAGGTCGCCTTCTTTTATGACACCATCTTCCACCCCTGCTACAACCGCATCACCAACATCGCACATTATAGGTTCGTCTCTCTCTCTCTCTCTCTAAACCACTTTACAACCACCACCACTCAGATTTATTTGAAAACCCTAGAAAGTGTTTCAATTAACGGTAAGAGTGCATCATACTCCCATTACAATTGCATGCTCCTTTTGAGTTATTTGTTGTGTGGATTTATATAGGTATCTCTAAGTATATGTGTATGTACCTATGTGTCTATTTGTGTTTGTATCTTTTTATCTATCCATCCATGTGTGTATTCGTGTGTACAACACTTGATGTGAAAAACAAGCTCTTAATTTGCATCTTTTATCAGATGCTGAAAAAAATGAGATCTTGGAAGCGAATTTGAGATGGTTGGAAACGGTGCCCTTGGCTTGATTGATATCTTTAATGTTAGAAGGGCTTTCTAATACCTTTTCAAGTTTACACTTTCAGGAAATGCTTGGATCATCACCGTTTATCAAAAAAATCCGTCCTTTTGACATAACCATGGGTGGTAATGGCAATTTTTGTGGTTTTATGAAGTACTTGACACCTACAGGTAATGTATACCAACGTAATACATTGTAATTAAGTGTTTACAAGTAATTTTAAATAAAAAATTTCCTAAACTCTGTAGTTTTCTTCATACAACATGTTTCAGACCAGCACCTATTATGATTTGAACATGCCCCTGATCTTGATTGAGATTGGCAAATCGAAGTATACAAGCAATAGGTATGAAAACGAATTAATTTGATGTTTTTCTCTTTATAAAATTTAGTTAATAGTAATTAATTTCTAATGCCAAATGGACCACACCTTACCATGGAAGCAGCAGGGGGTAGGATGAGGTAGCTATTTTTCTGCATCTTTTGAACCAAATGAGGCTGAATACTTTTCTAGAGCAGGTATGTATCAAAAAATGACTTTATTGTCTTTATGTGTTCTCATATCAGTTAAACTATTGCCTAATTGCATTTGTACCCAGTCACGTCATGATGCCTAAGTGCATATTCTGAGGTAAACAACATTGCCCTCTCTCTTTCTGTTTTTTATAATCACAGATACATATGAGATGTTATATTTTTTTGTACATATTAAGATGGTTTAATGGCTTTCTTATCTTATGTTTTTTGAAAAGTTTTGAATGTACTTTCTTTGGTTTGTATAGAACAAGCTCAATAAGGTAATCTTACTATGTTTTTGCTCAACATAAATTCATTTGTGTACTTTCAGGAAAAGCTACACAGAAGCAAAACATGAGGTTTGTCGTTACCCCACCCCTAATACACACATATCAAGTATACCGTTTCAGGGGCAAATCTGTCCAAAATTTTTGTGATGCCTCTATTAATTGCATGGTGCATCTTTAATTTGGATTAGTCAAATATGTTCACGATTGATGGTTTTATTGATCATTTTATTTTATTTTTGCCATTTCTTCAAAGTAAATTCTTTTAGTTACTTTGAGAATGCATTTCCTTCATCTATAGTAATGATTATGTGATAAATCTCATAAATTTGCCAATATGGTTTTATAGGAGCTTGGACAGGAGAGAGCATACATTAGTGACACAGTTTTTAATGCATCTTCAATGTTTAGGGGCAAATCTGTCCAAATTTCAAAACATTGGTGATAGGCATATAATAAGAGCATGTATGAAGTGTTATGTTTATACAACAATGTTTAGCATTTTATTGCCACTTCATACTATAACAATTTACTCATTTTCGTTTAAATTTTACTTACCAAATATAAATATTCAACTTGCTTCAAACTTGGATCAATTTAATAGAACTTCCACTGCCTATGAATTTCATATTGAGTAATTTATAAAATGGTCCCTGTGATTTACGATATCTACATTTTAGTTTAAAACTAAAACCTTTTCTAAATTTGATCCTTCTTCTAGGTTTCATATCGTTTTGTTGTTAGGGACTTCTCTTACCAATAGCTTTTTTAAATATAAAATACAACAAATGCTATAAAACGCATACTAAAACGTAATAATTAAAAAAAATACTTATATAGCAATATATAAATAAACTGAAGACAATTAAGAAATTAAATATAAATAAATAAAAATGATATTTTATGTTTTAATAACGACCATGTTATCCATAAAAATATTATTTGTTAGTGTGTTTATTATATTTTGAATTCATGAACAAACATTTTTGTTTAAAAGTGTTCAATTTATCATTTAGGAACCAGTTTCTAAAGTATAATCATGAAGTGCGCTACAAGCTGATAAACGACGTCTACATCTATAATAATGGAAATTAAAAAAAATAAACAAACAAATATTCCTTCCATGTTTTCTATTTTTTTTCTAATTCATTATCGGTAATCCTTTCGAGTGGTTTTCTAAAAAAAAGTTACGTGATTTACGATATCTATTTTTATGGAAATGAGTTTCCAAAAAATAAAACAAATCCAAACAGAAGAGAAAATACTTTCTTATTCGACTATATTTTGCGATAACACATGTGTTAAAGATCATTAATTACCTATTGCCGAGTTTATGCGTTTATAAGGACCAGTCCAACCGTGTCTTCTTGAATCACAGTTGTTTTATTTTATTAAAATAATTATGAGTAGTGATTTACCGGATGGTAGTGTTAGGATGATAAATCCTTGAACCTTAATGTGCATACATTCATTAAAGGATCATTATATACATGATTTATTTCTTACGACCATTAAGATTAATGAAAATCAAAACATGCACAATACGATTCAGAAAAAAAAAAGTAATCACAATAGGAATCGGTGAATAATGAATAAATATCCATTGTATTGTAGTAATTAACCATGATTTTGAGATGTAACCGTGTTTAAACAAAAATACCTGAAGTGGTTTGATTCTAATCACTTTATCTAGTTAGTTATTGATTTATGTCTACTGAGTTTATCATCAAAACCCATTTTTGTTGCTTTGTGTGTGCCAAGTTTATCATATAATCAAACATTCTAATATTACTATCGTTCTCCTAGTGTTTGACAATATGGTTTACCACAACTATACTGTTACACAATTAGGTTCGCTGTCTAGTGTGTATAATAATATGGCTGCGATAAAATCAGTTTTACGAATTTAAAAATTTCATCGATATTTATATATAGTTAATCACACATCATGTTTATTCTTAAAATCTTTGGTGGACTTGGTACCATTTTGAATTGATTGAGTCTATCTATGAACAAAATTATTGTCTAGCAAACAACTGAATAACAAATGGTTTTGGCCTAACGGTAATTATAAATAGATTAATTTTTCGTTAAAGAAAAAAAAAACAAATGAATACAAATGACTTTATCCGGATCATGTAGGCATCAATTGCCATGGTAAAGTCACTTAAAAACAAAATTGCCGTCTCTAAAATAAATTAAATACAAATGTCTTTGATCGATAAGCTCAATTAAAAACAAAATTGCCGCCTATAAAACAAATTAAATACAGAATGTCTTTGATGAGGTCAGGTTGAAACTAATTTGCAGTCTATAAAACAAATAATTGAACATATTATATAGATGTCCTTGAGTGGGCCATGCAGGAACAAAATGGCGTCTATTGATATTTAGTCTTAGACGGGGTCATGTAGGAACACAATTATTCTTTTTCAGAAGATAAGTATACAAAGGTTGTGGAGTATGTCATGTTGGAAACAAATTGCTGTCTATAAAACAAATTATGCACAAATTGTCTTTCCTCTGGTAATGTAGGAACAAAACTGCCATTTAAAAAAAAAACAAATTAAATATAGATGTCTCTGATGTGGCAGGGGTCCATCTCTCTTTCTGGGAAGAAGACTACCATTTAATAGGTTGACTATAGAGCTCCAATATCATTTATGAAACAACCATTGCAATCTGCTTTTGCTTTTACTTCAACAATGATTATGTTCGATGCTACTGGACCAATGAAGGAATCTCAAGCCTCCACCTCCTCCTCTATGGAATCATCACAACCATGCCGTCAGTTTGAATTTCCTGAGATTCTGTTAGCAACCAATAACTTTGACGAGTCACTAGTAATTGGGAACGGAGGTTTTGGAAATGTTTACAAAGGCAACATTCTTAACGGTTTAAGTGTCGTTATTGTTGCTATTAAACGGTTGGATCCTGAGTCAACTCAAGGGGCAGTAGAATTTTGGGCTGAAGTTGAGATGCTTTCAAAGTTGCGTCACTGTCATCTTGTATCCTTGTTTGGTTATTGTAATTATGAAAAAGAGATGATCCTCATCTATGAGTATATGAGTACCCCTCTTTCTTGGCTTCAGAGACTCAAGATCTGCATAGGTGCTGCACGTGGGTTAGACTACCTCCATATAGGTACAGGGATTGAGTCGGGTGTTATACATCGTGATGTTAAGAGTTCAAATATTTTGTTAAATGAAAGTGGGGCAGCTAAAATTTCGGACTTTGGGTTGTCCAAAATAGGCCGAACCAACCAGCCATCTACATATGTCAACACACTTGTTAAAGGAACTTTTGGGTATTTCGATCCAAATTATTTCACAACTGGAAGGTTGACTAGGAAATCTGATGTGTATGCTTTTGGGGTAGTGTTGTTGGAAGTGTTGTGTAGGAAGCGTGCAGTGGATAGAAGTCTTGATGAGGAGCAATGCGGTTTAGTGACATGGGCTCAAGATTCTGTCAAAGAGGGAAAACTAAAGAATATAATTGATTCTGATATAAGGGGTCAAATATCCACAAAATGTTTCAAGGAGTTTATTCGAATGGTAGATAGATGTTTGCTTGGAAATCCAAAACAACGACCTACGATGGCTGAGGTTGTGGTCAGTCTTGATTCTATACTAACATTACAGGAGAAAACCAATAATTCCTTGCAGACTTCCGGAAAAACATTATATGAAAGAATGCTTGATTTGTTGCCCTTTCCCTCCAACGAAGAGAACTCTGGTATTTCAAAATCCAATTTAATTATGCACGCAAATACTTTAAATTTTCTCCCAACGTCAAAAAACAAAAGAGTACTGACGTTGATTTGTCAATCGACATTATAGTTAGTAGTTTTGGAAAGATTGCTGAATGATAGTTTATGGCGTTCATATCTGTCCAGACTTTGAGAGCGAAACTTTTTTATGTGACATAACTTGCAAAATTATAAGAAAGATTAGCTTCAATTTTATGCCTTTTACCTTCTTCTCTTCTCAACTTAGACAAAATCCTTTTTTTGTTCAGGGAATATACTTTCTGTCTCTAGCTTCAAGTTTACACTTCCCTTCCATCTGGTCGACTTCTATATATATATATATATATATATATATATATATATATATATATATATATATATATATATATCCGTATTTTATTGAAATTGACATGAACAAGATCACATTATATAAGAGGTCATTCTAACATTGTAACATAATACATGTATTTACATTCCTTTTCTGTTTTTATGGAGTCCATGGTAATGGAAAGTTGAACCAATATAAGAATTTGATGTGAACAAACTATCAAAGGTACAATCTGTTAACGATTTCAAGCCTTGTCTTTATATAAATCATCATTCAGAGAATTATGAATTACTTTATAATGTGGGAATGATAAGAATGGCTTATGTACTGAACTCTAAAAATCCATGTATTATACTTTAAAAACAAGAAAAACACTAGAAACCAATTATATAGTCGTTTACTACAGTACTGTCTGTTATTGGTCTTTTGACTATCCAACTTTCTTGTACAAATCCTCTTGTAAAAGGTTTTGTGGCATCCCTAGCTTGACAAACACCATAATAGTCATTTATTACAGTTTTAAGTTATCTATGCTGTTACAACGTAGTGCTTGTTTATTACAAATGTGATGATTCCTAGAGGCTCAATTACACTGTTACTTGTGAAAGCTGTGGTCATCAACTATGATATGCTTGAGAAGTTGTATGTGCAATGTTTTAGCATCACAAGTCCTAATGCATGTTCTTCATCACATTCATCTTATTCTGTAAGCTATTGGGTGCAATAAAAGTATTTTAGTATACTATACTCTTGCTTTCCTTATTCTATGGGAATATACCTTTTGTTGAATGTACTATCTGACGATGTAAAATGGGTATACTAGTCGAAATCCTACGGCTTTCCTGGAGTCTATGAGGAAGTGTGCACGAATTGAAGAGATCCAGCCTATTACCTAAAGTAGTTACAATTTTAAACATATTCATTGATTGTAATTAAGAATAGTACTCTAGAGACTTTACAAGTCACATCAAAACCTAGTGAAAAAAATAATACTTGACCGAGTATATATGGTGCTGAAAAAGTAACAATAGCAATTATATAATATTTTTCTATTCCTCTGTTTCAGCCCATGGTGATGTGATATTATCAGGTGATAAAAAGGGAAAGAGTCGAAATGCTGGTGATACAATAAAAGCTGACAACAAATATTCCTCAAATCCTTCTCCGAATTTGAAAGCGTTTAAGTTTGCTGATCTGCAAAGGGCAACTAAAAATTTTAGTCAAGACTTTCTCTTGGGAGATAATGGAGTTATGTTCTTATGTTGGGTTGACAAGTTCACATCCGTTCCTTCAACAAAGGGCGTTGGGATTGCAGTTGCTGTTAAAAGGTGTCAAGGTCTTCAAGAATATGAAGTAAGAATCAATCCACATCAATTTACATTCATTAATATAATAAAACTTCGTGGAAGTTCTATTAGAGACTTGTCTCCCAGAGTCTTTATATACCATTAACATCAAAATCAACCTCACACCGAATGCAAAATCATCATTTACAAGAAGTAGCACATACAATATATTATCTGAAACACCATGCTAACTTAAGCATCAGCCAAACTATCCTAGTTTCTATCTTGTTGAGAGCTCCAAGTAGCATTGTCACAGTATGGTTGCAGAAGTATTACTAGAACTTCATGAAAATTTCTTTCTAGAAATATACGTTATACTTTGGAGCGAAACAAAAAGAAACGAGGATAAAAGATGGTAAAAAGGTTTGTGTTCTAAGAATGGTCTTCTGTTATTTATTGTCATGTGCCTGAGAGAAGGCAAAAGAAAGATAACAAATTCACCGAGAGTAAATAGGTTAATTCAAGTCTGAGGTAGTTAATTCGTTTCGAAAAAAGAATGATAAATCATATGCTTTCCGTTCTATTCAAATGTTTCGACATTTATGAGGCATGTCTTAGAGAGAATATCACCCAAAATTTTATCTACCCTTCCTTTATGTTCTCTCCAGAAAAGCTCGAGAACATGCAATTTTTTTGTTTCTTTTTATTTCTTTCAAAATCACTCTTTTTTCTACAAGAAAGTAACTCAAAAGGAAAGATTTATTTGTTAGGTAAAGAACAACGGTAAACGAAAAATAGATATGAGAAATACAAGAAATCAGAAACAAAATAAAAGCACACAGAACACAACACAAAATTTAAATGGTTCATACTATCTTGCAATAGGCTACGTCCACTGTCGAACCAGAGAGAGAGAGAGAGAGAGATTTTATTCCAGCTATTCTGCTACAATGTTCCAGATACGGCTATTCATAAGTATATATACGAAAAAACTTGACCTAAACCTAAAAGGTCAAGCCCAACTGAAAAACACAAATAATAATAATAATAATAATAATAATAATAATAATAATATAATAATAAAGACAAAAAAAAAAAACAAAAGAGAAAAAATTGGCCTGCCCAAAACTTTCCGGTCTTTAACAATAGGTGGAAAAGAACATGACGTTTCAACCATGGCAATCTGACATATAGGTAGATTGTGGCTGTTAACCGGTGACAGATGAACAAATGTAGATCTAATGATAACCTTTAAATTGGATTAAACTTAAGCCTATATTTCTTTCTACATCTTAGTTTTAAGTTGTATGTGCAAACTCATGAGTCATTTTTTCATAGAACAATGCATCGTCTAAAACAACGATTTTTATCGGATGTAAAAAAGAAAGAAGCTCATAGAAGTCGAAATATGAAAAAAAAATAGTATGATATGATAGGCGAAATCTCAATGCTAAATGTTTTGTTGATTGAAATCCTTTCAATGACTAACTTTAAATTTTGTGAGATCAGACAGTGGTAGGCATATTAGGAAGTTTGGCTCATCCAAATATTATTAGTCTTGATCACTTCTTATTTGAAGGTAATATATATTATTGGATTATTTTGACTCAGAAGTACTTTATCTAACATGAACAATTTTGCAGATGCACCACTTTCCTGGGGACGACGACTTATAATATTGATAGGAGTAGCACGTGCACTTGCATATATACATTCGTCAAGCTATCAAGTGATACACCGTAATGTTAAACCCTCTAATAGATTCCTCGATCAGGTAGTCTTAAGTTATTGAAGATTTTTGGTGGTGAGGGAACCACTTCCAGGCATTTGTTTTTTTGCCATGAAAATTAACAAATTATTTTTCTTGATTATGCCAGGATTTTAATACAAAACTCGGGGATTTTGGGTTTGCTAAATTTGGGTCTGAAATTCACAAATTAGATGCTACTACACGTGTTATGGGTACCATTGGTTATGTTGACCCATTGTATGTAAAGACAGGTAGGCTACCTACAAAATAATATTTAATCAAGTGAACTTCTACCAGATTTGCGATTAATTTTTCCTAAGGGAGGAGGGAGTCATTCCCTCCCAACCCACTGAACCCACTGCCATATAATTTTTTCTCTTTTATTTTTCTTCATCTTTCCCAACCCACAACACACGGAAACACTATCTTTTTGAACTCACTCAACTCATTCAATTAAAAAAAACATACAAAGCAATCAAGGTAAAATCTTAATTAGCAATAGAGTTACCGCCGATACCACTCCCGCTTCAATGGGTTGTTTAATTGGTTTCAGTAACCCACTTCATCATCTCTCTTTACTTTCTCTCTCTCATTTTCTTTTGTACAATGTATTTTAAAATTTGTACCTTGGTTTTTTTGTATTTTATTTAATTTAGTGGGTTGAGTGGGTTGAGTGGGTTGAGAAAGATAAGATTTCCGTTTGTTATGGGTTGGAAAAGATGAAGAAAAAGAAGAGACAAAAATTGATGTGAGAGTGGGTTCAGCGTGTTGGGAGGGAATGACTCCCTCCTCCCAAAGAAAACAAATCATTCTTCCAGAGTTTCAGAATGAGCCCATTTTAGATAAATATGGAAATGTAAATATGTAGAAAAAAGATCATACTTGAACTCTTTTGTCTATAAGTATATATTTTCACAGGAACCATGGATTGTTAAACAAATATGCCAAGTTGTAGTGATTAATTTAAAGGTTAATCTCTATATTGTGATCATAAAAAAATACAAATTACAGGTCATCTGACTATGAAGAGTGATGTCTATAGCTTCGGAGTGGTATTGCTGGTAACCCTAACAGGTGATGGGGCATGGGGGTCGCCTAATTATCAATTAAATTTGGCAGAACTGGCAGGTCCATTCCTAACAAGCAGAAGCAAGCTAGATAAAATAATGGATCCACGTCTACAGAAAGATTACCAGCTAAAAGGTGCTTTCAAATGTGCTGCACTCGCATTAAGATGTGTAGCTACCGATTCTAAGGATAGACCTTCAAGTGAAGAAGTTTTGCAGCGCTTGGAACGAATATATGCTCTAACCAAATAATGTAACTGTTAAAATATGAACTTGATACTTTGGTGCAGAGTCATTAAGGATTCTTATGTTGGCTAGAATTTGTCAAATTGCAGAAAGCTTGAAGGTCTCAAATAGCACTACTAGAAAAAGAGGTATCAGCGATGAATTAGCCACCGAAAAAATCCCTAGCTAATCAGTGATGAACTTGCAAGGGTTTAGCGACCGAAGTTATATTAATGTGTAATACTGAATTTCAGATGTGGTTGATTCAATGGATTCTTTTCATCCGGGAAAAATCGGTAGCTGATTTTTTAATTCCCTCCCATTTATTTGGTTCAACTTTTTGTTTCCCTCCCACTTATTTCGTTCCCCCCATTCATCTCTCCCAAATCGACACCCTCAACCTCTCTTCCCAAATCGACTCCCTCACTTCTCCTCCCAAATCTTCTGTAAATCTTATGTAACATTCTTTTACATTTAGCCCTTCGTCTTTCTCATCCTCCATTGCGCATCGAGATGGCGCCGATCGATCTCAGGTTACAAAATGCGAGAAACCCTAGCGATAGCATCATATTCATCATCGACGACAACAAATGTCATCCCACCAGCCGAAGCAGCTTGGGTTAATACATATGAAAGATTATCACCGCGCTGAAAATCATTCACCCCTCCTTCTCAGGTATTGACTGGACATCTTTTTTTTTAGTTTGCTTTCTATTAATTCTTCTTCCCATGTCAATCCAAACGAAATCAATGTTCATGAATCTCATGTCGTACTAAATAGTTAAAATCAGAGTGATAATATATTGAGCTGTTAGAAGCAAAATCATTATTTAGGATTATGAATCTCATATTGAACTAAATGATTAACCTCAGAGTTATTTAGTTGGGTTACTGGAAACAAAATTAATGCTCAAAGACCTCATATAAATTCATCAACATCTTTCTAGGAGAAAACAAGTTTTTTTTTCATATCCCTGAAGGTTCCTTAGCCCCTCTCATTTTTAACACGACCTAATGGATTTGTTGGTGATTTCCCTGCACTCTGCAATTCCAGTTGTGATATCTAGAGTTAACCAGGTGGATACAGCAAGACTTGATGTTGAGATGTCAGCCATGTTGAAAGAGCAATTAGTCAAGGTTTGCTCTGAAATGAAGGTATATTATCACATAGTCGAGGTTTTTCTTTTTGTTTCCATCTTTAATTTAATTACCAAATCTTATCCTTTTGGGATTAGCCAGGATTGTTTTTCAATACGAAGCTGAGCTTGATGCTTTCCTTGAGTTTCTCTTATGGAGGTTCTCCATTTGGGTTGATAAACCTACTCCAGGAAATGCTCTCATGAATCTAAAAAATAGAGATGAGCATGTCATGACTACAAGAGGAAAAAGTAAGAAGTTTCAAATATATTATTATATCCCTAATCCATTCTATCATGTGCAAATTGTGTGGGTGTGACCATTTAGCCTTACATCTCAATTAATTTCAATCTATTCTCTAGTTAGATCATGATTGGAGGGACCTGAACTCACTATTGCGTAAAAGATATGGTGTTGTGTTGCTACAGTTGGTGGACAATATATTTGGACTTGTCTACAATATTTTTCTGGTTTTTGTCGATGGGGTGATTTTAATTAGATATATGCTATTCCATGTTTAGATAATTGAACCTAATAAGGTATAATTGCAATCCTCCCCTCGTATTCTGTTAGTTTTTATATTTTAGTGCTGCTACAACTTATTTATAACTAACTATTTAAGTGACGTAATTTTATTATAAAATGGTACTAGATGTCAGCAAATACTTACTTGGGATAAGGGAAAAGAAACTTGGAAGCACATACAATATAAAAGAATATGGCTAAATATATTAGGCATATCCTGATATATGATATATTTGAATCTAGAAATGAAGACATCATTATTAGTTGTATATTATTTACAGGTACAAGAATCTTAGTGAGAGAGCCCTAGACATATTCGCCCCTACACAGTCAAATTGACGTATTTGCCCTTCTGGTTTGCTACTAGTACCAAGATAAACTCCAAATGATTCACCCGAGATGGAAAACTAGTGCAAAGTCTCTTATAAGGTATAATGTTATCATCAATTAATGGTTTGTTTTCCTTTTAAAATGATTTTATTTTTAAAGTATAAAGGATGAGCTTATTGAAAGTACATTGTTACAAATTGTTTTCTTTGTAGGCTATTCTTGATCGTATACGTGAGGAGATAAAGGATGTGCTTAGGGTGGAACGTGAAGAAATTAAGCCATAAAAACAAGAAATTTTCAAGATTTATAACGACATTCACACTTAATTCACTAGAGGAAGTAACCTACCCAACTAATTAAACTTTCACATTTGATTTTTCTAATTTGGTTTCGATACTTTGAAATCGATTTACACTTTGACTCTCGATACTTGTGATTTAGTTTCAATACTTTGAATGTGATTTGGTTTCGATACTTTGAAATTGAATATTAATCTTCATTTACCTGGTCAAATATTTATATTTAATTTAGTAATTGGATTTTAATTGTAATTTATTATATACATTAGATTTATTTTGTAGATTTTGGTTATAGATTTAGAATATTAAAACAAATGATATAATTGGCAATCAACGACAAAATTTATTGGTTTTATGAGCTTTCTTAAAAAATTATATTGTAGCTAAATAACTCATCAATGACGGATTAGCGACAAACATCAACGACAGATTAACGACAAAATCCAGAGGTTCCATAAGCAATTTGTGACTTCGCTAATCCGTCACTAATTTGTCGCTAACTATTAGCGACAAGGTTTTTTCGACTACCAAATTCCGTCGCTAATCCGTCGTTGATGGCCTTCAGCAACGGATCAGCGCAGAATTGTCCGTCAGTGATACCTCTATTTCTAGTAGTGTAGAAGCTGAAGATGTTGATGATTGTTCGTGACTAAGAAAAAGATGTTGGGGCTAGATGGAGCAAATGTTCCAAGTATAAGAAGAATAAGATGCTTAGGGTGCATTTAGTTACAGATAAATGGGCCATTTTTTGGAAAAAATTTCCAAGAAAAATGAGAATTTTAAAAACGTGTTTAGTTCATCGTTTTTTAAAACTACAAAGAACTTAGAAAATTTTGGAAAACCGATAATCATTGTTTTCCACATTTTTCTAATTTCAAAAATATAAACATACACCCACCCCAACCCTACACACCTCTACATACCCCCACCTTAACACCCCCAACCCACACACTCCTAAGAGCATCATGGGGTTTAATCAGAGTTGAATAGATGATTACTAGGATTGAATAGAAGTTTAATGGAATGTGAGTGATGACATGGAGGAGAGTTGAATGAGAGAGTTGTATGATCATTGAGTGGTTCAATATATTTAATCTTTTCTTTTCCAATTAAATTTCAAACAAAATATAGAAATCCATTAAACTTTGTAGAGTTTAATGGAGTGTGGATGTTAAAGAGTATAGTTGAATAAAAAGTGAAATGTTGATGTTGTAGTGATGTGTCAATCCATTGAACTTCGTAGAGTTCAATGGATTGTGGATGCCCTAAGCTCACCTCAACCCCACCCCCACCCCCACAAATATACACACACACACACGCACACCACAATTACCCCCTACAAACACACCCACACCCACCCCCTACAAACACACACACACACATACAACCACTCCATCCCCCCCCCCCCCTCATAAACACACACCACCACTAGCACTACCCCCACAAAAACACTCTCACACAAACCACTACTGTAAATTCCGACCTACCATCACATCCACCATTACCCTGTCACCGCCACAATCACCTATGCCACCTTGTCACCACCGTGATACCGCCACCACCACAACTATCGCCATCATCGCCACCACGTTGTCGCCGCCACCACCACAACTATCGCCATCATCGCCGCCGCCACCACCACCACCGTTGTCACACCCCCAAACCGGATGGCGGAAACGTTCGGAGGTGGAATGAGAACACAGTATCACAAGTACATAAACAACCATCATATCATATGATTATATCAGTTACATGACCCAAATGTTACTTAGTATCAGAATACATTACAAGGTTTGCATGTTATCAAATAAAGTAGTTCTCGTAATGATATTTGGTGTTTTGTCTTCAAAAGTAGCTCCACTGATCCGAGCTTAATTGTTTCCTGAGATTACATGTCGTTTTAAAAGTCAACATAAAGTTGGTGAGTTCATAAGAGTTCAGTTGTAGAAAAATCCGATATTTTTCCTTAGATGAAAATTGTATCTCCGTCTTGTAAAAAGTTTTGTATTTGTACGCCTTCAGCGTAAAAGAAGAATGTATGTGTGTAGTATGTATCCCAAAGCATTAATAAAATAAAAGTTCCCATAACTTCTAAAGTTATAGAAAGTGTGACTTGTCATGTGATTTTTATTATCCAAAAATCGAGTGTATAAGTAAATAACCATACTTATAAATGTGTTTTGTACTAGAATTTCACTATTCGATGTTATAGTGAGCCCTTATGATCGAGCTATCGACTGTAATGCTGCCCGCTACGATGCTTCTTCGGATGTCGTGAAATGTTAAGACAATTGTCACCCTTGACCCGTCGATCGTGGTTGTAGCTAGAAACCATAGGTGGGGGTTGTCAATCCCATATAGATCTATACACAATTATCCCGCTCACTTAAGATTTAACGATTATAAGGTCCGGGTCTTAGCATAATGGTTGAAGAAATGTCTCACATAACCCGTCGAAAGTATGTTATTCTAGGTTGTAAATGAAATTGAAGTTTTCCCATGTTCAAAGTGTTGTTCTACATGTATGTTGGTTACCCAGTGTATAATAGTATTACCCAGTGGATAATGGTATTATCCAATGGGTAATGGTTTTATACAATGTGTAAACAAAAAGTTTTAATCTTTCAAAACTAGACTTTTGGTAAAAAAAAATGTTAGTTTGTGTTTATCCAATGTGTAATAATATTATCCAATGGATAAAGATATTATCCATCAAACAATAGATCCAATATTAGGAGCTTGTGCATATGAAAGAATGAGACTTGTGTGTTTTCTTTGAAAACATGAATGTATGTATATATTTCATAAATAGAACATAAACATGCATGTAAGAGTCTTACCCAAAGGTTAAAAGTTTTATCCATCATATATTAGATCTAGGACCTTTGTGTAAAGTCATTGTCCAAAATGTATTTTGTTTGCATGGCATGTAATCTCCTCCGAAAGTGTAAAATGAGTGAAAATGTAACGACCCAATTTTCAAAAGAAAATTTTCATTTTTCAATAGCCAAAA